CTCTGTCATTCAATATCTCACATGATGTTAGAAACAAATGGCTTAAGATAAAATAAAATTTCAAAGAAGTCTAGAGCATTGGGCAGAGTCTAGGACAAGGAGTAAGAAGCCTGTCTGATATAGAGAGAAACCCCATTTTCAGGTGAGTTGGGGTGGCTGAGTGTAAGGGAGCTGTGAGGAAGTGGACCAGAATGACGAGCATGGGCACTTCTTAGGGGCACAGTGGAGAGGGAGCTCCCTCTGGTGTGGAAGGAAATGAGTAACCTGGAATCTACTTATTTATTTATTTTATGCAAGTGTGAAGTAGTTGCTAGAGGCCAGCATGCACAGGGAAGACAAATTTAAGGGTTGTAAACAGAAAAGCTGGCAATTGAGGTGACCATTTCACGCTGCATATATGTGTACAATAGGAACACAAGACAACATAAATATGTGAAAATTATTAAATGAATAAAAATGTAAAAACAAGTTTTTATGTATTTTATTCATATGTTGTCTATTTGTTATTGTGGTGCTGAGGATTTACCCCAAGGCCTGGTATACCCTAGGGCAGTGATGGGAGCCTTTTTGAGCTTTCAGTGATAACCAACAGCTGGCTGCCATAGGTTCACCACCACTGTGCTAGAGAAATGAAAGGCTAGAGAAAATCTCATCCACTGAACTATATCCTCAACACTAAATAATTTTTTAAAAAACTTAAACATGTGTCACACTCCCAGTGAGCACACAAGCAGAAGGCATGGGAGAGGTGACAGCAGCAGTGTCAGTTAGGTAACAGGAAATGGGGGTCAGCAGGAAAGGGAGTTGGGGGTAGAGGAGGGGATGAAGAAAGAATAAGATGTGTTTTGTTCATGCACCAGCTGCCAGTGAAAAATGCAAACATCACACACAGCAGACATTTACTAATGAAAACTGAAAAAGAAGAACTCCTGGTAACACATGGAGACAGAGAAGGGAGGCCTGGGATTCGCAGAGATCCTGATGCTGGTTTCAGTGTCACATGACACATGTCCTCCCGTGGGGCAGGTGGAGCCAGAGAAGCTCGGCTGTGTCAGACCAGACTTGGGGACTCTCAGAGGGGTGGAGGGCCAGCCAGGTAGAGCATGGGCTGGGGAGCTGGGACAGTGTAGGGCCAGGCCAGGGTGGCCTCAGGGGTCATGTGGGTGTGTGGATGGTGATGACAAAATGGGACTGTAGTTTCTGCAGGGCAGTATGAGGGAGGACTGGTGGGCATCTCTGGAAAACCAATCATCCCTGTGGTATCATGTCTGACTTGATGGCAATATGAGAAGCCAGTGGAATATTTCACTCATTCCTGAGAATTTTCTGGTACCCCCAAAAGCTGGTGGCCCAGCTAAACCGAAAACTTCCTGCAGTGTTTTTGCACAGAGAAAGTGCCTGGAACATTTTATTGACTATCAAGGCCCCCAGGCTTAACCACCTGTCCCAAATGACAGGGTTTCCTGTCTTTTCCAGGCTGAATGCTGTTGTACTGGATGTACACCCCATGTTCTCTTCATCTTTCTTCTACGGACACACACTCAGGTCAGTTCTCCATCTTGACTATTTTGAATAATGCTGCAATGGAGCACAGATAGTTCATCGACACCCTGCCGCATTTCCATGGTTACATTAGCAACAGTGGGCATGACTGGTCCCATGGTGGGAGTCCCAGTTTGATTCACATTGTTTTCCACAATGGCTGCCCTGATGCACACCCCACCCGCAGTCCTGGGTTCCCTCCCTATGCCACTACCCACATTTTTTCTCATTGTCTTTTCTACATCATTTGTTCCAACAATGGGGATGGGAAGGACAACTGCACAGGGTCTCACTGGGATTTAGAGTCTAAAAAAATTGATCTTACTGAAGCAGATATTAGAGCAGTGGTGAATAGAGTGGGCAGCTGTGGAAGGGATGGTGTTGAGCAATGGACGCTAACATAGAGAAAGAGGGGAGGAAAAGTCAGGAGTTTCATTTTGAATTCTTAGTAAACTATAAGAGTGAATGTTAATGCTTTCATCCCAAAAAAGATTATGGTTTGGATAACATACATTCCAATTATCTAAATGCAGCCATACCATAATAGGCATATACTTCAGAATATTGTGTTGCACATGATACACAAATGTATCTATGCTCTTAAAAGAAATAAATGAATTAAAAAGCATAACATTTATTTATTCAAAACTGACCCTCCATATCTTTTTGATGTGCTTTCATACTGGAAATACTCAGAGTGTGCTTCCCTCTCCTCCCAGCATGAGCTCACAGAAGGATCAAGACACAAGCATAATACCATCACAGCATCATTGCAGGGGCTCTAGCCTCCCACTCATGCTGGGCCCAGTCCCCAGACTCCAAGGCAGCCTCTTCAGTGAAAGTAGTGCCTGCCTTTGCAACCCACCTGTTTTCTTAGATTTTCATAAACTAGACAGTGTTTCCATTAAGAAAGCCAATGCTTAGGTTTTCTCATAATTTCCCTTGTATTCTGTTTGTTTCAAGAGTGTAATCAAAGAAAGCCCTCAGAATCTTTCATGGGTTTGTTTCCAGAAGGAAGTGCCCTCTTCTGTGAGGAGAGTTGCATGTGAAGCAGAATCCTACCACAATGTCCTCTCTGACACTGCACAGCTTGGAGTCTTTCTCTGTCTCTACAGCTCTGTCTCCTGCAGATTGGCACATTCTCCATCAGGGACAGGGAAAGGTCCAGGCTCTGGCCTCAGGGGACTCTGGCTCTGTCCTGCTGAGACTCTGCTATTTCTGGTGCATGGCCCAGTGTCTCTGCTCCACCATGCTCTGCATTCACTACGCAGGTTTAGCTGCCATGATCAAGTGCAAATTGACTGCCCTTGCTCTGGAGATGATGAAAAGGCTGTTCCTTTCCACTGGGACCTCACTGAGGTGCAGACTCCTTAGACTGGGGCTGTGGAAGTGGCAGTGGATGCCCAGAAACACAGCTTCTCTCCACCCACATAGAATCTTATGTGCTACTGCAGATCATTGAGGGAGTTGTTGTTTGTTATTTTATTAGTTTTTAAAAAATAATTTTTAGAATGCAGAAATCACCAGTTTCCAAGTGACTTCTGCTCTTGAACGTGCTGGCAGTCCACTGAATCTTTTAAAAGATAAACAGTGAACATCACTTCCTGCATTTTAGAGCAAGAAGGCTAGAAATCAAGGTGGTGACATGCTCTGCCCCAACTCAGTGGTCACAGGGCCAGGCCAGCAGATACAGATTCAGAGATGATAATTCTAGATGCAAAGGCTGTGCCCAGCACCCCACAGTGGAAGGCCCCCAATACACAAGGTGCCCACACCAGACATCCAGGCCTCTCTCTCCACATGGGGTTACTGTTCCTGTTGGTTAGAATTCACCTGCATTTGACACTGAGGACCACAGTTTCTATTGTAAGATGCTCACACTTTATTCAGTACTTTTCTCTCATTTACTCCTCACTTATCATCAAATTGAGCATTTTATCCTGAGATTCTTCTCTCTCTTTCTGAAACTTTGGATAATATTTGGCCTGCATAGGTGGTGATCTCTTTCTGATTTTCCAGAATGCTGATGCCTGCACATCTGCAGGTGGATTCCAAATCTGGACCTGTAGCATCTGACTCTTCACAATTTATTGCATGTGATAACATGGGCTGTTCCCAGTGTGTGGCCTTTGGGAGCTGTAGTAGAGATAACTTTCCTCCATACAATTGACTAAATTTAGTTATGTCACTGTGATTCTATTTTCAATGATTTTTTCAAAAGTAAAGAAAAACAATATTGTTCATAGTATTTTATAACACATCAGTTCATTTTTTTCAGTCTTTATGTTTCAAATTCTGGTATTTGTTTTTGAAACTAATTCAGCATATTGCACCCACTTATGAGATAAAAATTGTTCTTTAAAATGTGGCATACGTGACAATATTTGTACTGTATGGAACGTTTTTATAATGAAGAGCTTTGTAAAGATGAAGATGAAAATGATGGAAATATGTGTCAGGAAGAGACAGCACAGTGAAGGTGCCTTGGTCTGCTATGGCTACATAATAACCCTTACAAAAGGTACAGTGTGGGAAACTCAGGAAACACAGATGCAACTTCATAGCAATGGGCTGGTGGATGTCAAAGCACCACAGCAGGAAGAGCAGAGCTGCTCAGCATGTGGACAGCTGCAGCCCTCATGCATTAGGGGAGGAAGGAAAACAAGGCAGCTGCTGGGCAAGCACAACTTTCATCAAAGGATTAGCCTACATTTACCTTAGGAGGCAAAGAGGTCATTTTTGAGTGTACACACAAAGAAGTGGAAAGCAGGGTCTCAGAGGTACTGCAACCAGTGTATACAGAAGGATTAATCACAATACCAAAAGCAAAAAGACAATGCGTGCGTCACCTGGTAGATGAACACATAAACATACTTTTTATATATGTACACTATGAGCCTTAAAAACATTTTTAGTGTATTCATCAGTGTTGAGGAAATTTGGGGTATGATGTAAGGGGAAAAAAAGTTGTTCGCCACATTACAAATGTCATGTGATTCTACTTTAGTGTAATGAAAATCACACTGAGAGAGAGCAGAATGGGCTCTCCATGGTGGAGAGGGAAAGGAGATATTTAATAGGTATGAGATAGGTTAACAAGGTGAAAAGATTCAGAAAATGGGTGGTGGTGATGGTGTTACAAAATTATCACTGTACTTAATTGCACTGAACTAAATTGGCAAGTAATAAGGTAACTGCATAGGTAACGTAATAAATTTTATGTATTGTGGATATTACCATAAGTAAAATAGAACAAAATAAAAAAAGAGAGGTCTGTCTTAAATAATCTCTATTAGAGGCCTTCTTCTGGACAAAAAAATAGTTCATAGAGTCAAGTGAACCTATTATGTATAAAAGCATACAAAAATAATACCAGTGAGGAAAGAAAAGAAAAAAACCTCATATTTATTCTCAAAACATGTCCATTTCCTTCCAGCCATATAATAGAGACAGATGCCATGGAAAGGGGAAACATGAGCTTTCCCAACACTTTTGTCCTGCTGGGCTTCTCAGAGTTTCCATGGCTAGAGAGGCCCCTCTTTGCAGTGGTCCTGGTCTCCTACCTCCTCAGCCTGGTGGGTAACAGCTCCATCATCCTCCTCTCCCTAGTGGACCCCAGACTCCAGACACCCATGTACTTCTTCTTGGATAACCTCTCTCTGCTGGACCTATGTATCACCTGCACCACTGTGCCGCAGCTGCTGGCCAACCTGTGGAGATCAGGAAAGACCATTACTTCCTGGGGCTGCATCACACAGAGCTATCTATTTGGCTTGGCAGCCAGCACTGAATGTGTCTTGTTGGCCATGATGGCCATTGACCGCTATGTGGCCATCTGCTGGCCCCTCCAGTACACTCTCATCATGCGTCCCTGGGTATGTGTGCAGATGGCAGCTACCTCCTGGTCCAGTGGCCTCACCAATGCTCTGCTCCAAGCCACACTCATGCTCCAGCTCCCCTTCTGTGGGCACCACACCCTGGACCACTTCTTCTGTGAAGTGCCTGTGCTCATCAAGCTAGCCTGTGGGGACACCTCTGCTAATGAGCAGGCCATCACATTTGCAACCATTCCATTTGGAATGGTGGCTCCACTGATGATGGTCATCTCCTACATCTTTATTGCTAGGGCTGTACTTAAGCTACCTTCAGCTGAAGGAAGGCAAAAGGCACTCAGCACCTGCAGTTCCCACTTGTTGGTGGTAACTCTGTACTTTGCACCTGGCATGTACATGTACCTCCAGCCTTCATCCAAGACTTCCCAAGCCAAGTTCATGTCCTTTTTCTGCTGCATTATCACACCACTGCTCAATCCACTCATCTACACCCTGAGAAACAAGGATGTGCAGACAGCGTGGAAAAGGATCCTGAAATCCCAGGGCAGAGTGAAGTCTCTAAAAGCCAGATGATCCCTGTATGTCTCCTGAGCAATCACAGGCACATATAAGTAAGCAGAATTATTACACCTGCTTTTCCAAAAGAACATTCATGAGCTTCAAGAAAGAGTTCCCAGTTTTCAATGTTAGTCACCTCAATGACTGGAAAAACTCCTGGGATCAGTATATTTTATCATATTTCATCTCATAGACAACCATGGTCCTTTACTAAACCCTTCATATGTGTCTGGTCTCTAAAGAGAGAATGTGCAACATAGTCCATACATCTTTGGCTGGTTAGTAAAAAGTTCTTTCTTTCCTTCTTTCTTTCTTTCTTTCTTTCTTTCTTTCTTTCTTTCTTTCTTTCTTTCTTTCTTTTCTTTCATTCTACTTTCTTTCTTTCTTTCTACATTTCTCTCTTTATTTCTCTGTTTCTTTCTTTCCATCCTTCCTTTCTTTTTTTGTTTTGTTATTTTATTGGTACATTTTAGGTACACAATTCATTTACATTTATCATTGGGTGTTTATACCTGTACATGATATATCTTGGTTCTTGTTTTTTCCCCATTTACCTGTGCACCCTTCACCCCCTCCAACCTTCCCTATTTACATAGAGATCATTTCCATTTTTTTCTTTTCTCATAGTCTTTCCTTTCCCACCTTTCCTTTCCCCTTCCCCTCCCTTCACCCCTTCACCTTTGGACCTTTTTCCTATTTCAAATGATCAATTATTCATTTTAATCATTTTAACCCTTGTTTACACTATCAGTTTCTCACACTAGAGAAACTACTCGGTATTTACATGTGTGTCCTATTTATTTCACTTAAGAGTATGGCCTCAATATGCATCCATTTAGCTATAAATG